GACCATCTCGAACAAGAACGTTCCTGTAGCCAGCATTGATGAGGTTGCTAGTGAAACTAGGTGCAAAGTGCTTCACCGGCTTCCTGCTCCAATATTTGCCCTCCTCCAAGGGGAGGTCTGAGAACGTCACCTCGGCTGTTAACTAGAGATCGGGGTAGTAAAACTTTAGCCATCCTCCTGGAAAGATTGTAGAAGAAGCAGCTTATCCCGACTAGGTACCATAAGGGGCTGCGGCCTCTTCGGTGCAGCTCCAGCTGTGGATGAAGTATTATGCCCTATTTAGGGCACAAGAGAAGTCATATATACGAGCCCAGCGATGCCGCCACTCTTCCTTGCTTCTCGTTCTTGCTGAGTCCCCGGACGCCATATGTATGTCTCCTAGGTGCGCCACAAGAAACCAGGGGCAAAATGTGATTGGTGAGTCTCTAATTGCATATTATTATGCTGCGCCACTTGAGCTATTTACTAATGAAAGCTACCGTTATAAAGGGTTCATTTCTTATCAATATAACGTCATGAACCACCATTCTGGACATTGGTCAACACACAACTCTACCACATAGTATTTTCTGAGGATAGGACGAAAACAGGGAGTCTCTACTAAAGAATTTCAGGTAGTCTTCTGAATCAAACTTCTCTTACTTACATCTTCACTGCATTAACCACTGTGTTACAAATCGTTCCCTCCTCGCACGCGTAAGTACGAAGCGTCTTTAACGCGCCTCTAACGCGTCAGAACGCGTCAGAACGCGTTTATCTTATCACCATGGAAAGCCAAGCCGGCCCATCCTCCAGCAACGGTGCAACCAGGAACCCTAAGCCAGCACCAAGTAGCCGCAAGAGGAAATCCACCGAAGCAGACTCGTCGGACAAGCCAGGCAAGCAAGCCAGGGCCAGAAAGTCCGTCAAAGTCGAGGAACCGGCGGTTAAATCCGAGGAAGCAGAGCGCAAGCCGCGCCTGACGACACCAGACCTGGAGTTCGACTTCGACCGCACGCAGCTGCGCGACCCTCGCCCGACACCCGGGCGAGTCAGGCGACCGCGGTATAGCAGATATGACATGCCGAGCGGCTTCAAGGAGCGGTTCCACGTCCCCGTGCCGGAGAAGCCGAAGGGTCGGCTCAACGCTTCCCAGAAGAACAAGCTGTCCCAGCAAGCGACGCTGCTTGACCCGAGCGACTCCTTTCACGACACCAGTATTTGTCTACGGAAAGGGCGCAACGGCTCGCCCACCTACGATGCCGCTGGCTTCCAGCTGGATTGGAGGAAAGTGAGCGAATCGTCTCGGCCCAGGGCCTACAACAAGGCAAGGATCGTCAAGGGGATGGAGAGATCTCTGGACAGGCACGCCACGGAGCGGGATAACATGTATCGTCTTTTCTTCGTCGACGGGCAAGGTCCCACCGATGCCAGACCCTCAGATGTGGTCAACTATATAAGGGACCATGTCTCCAAGGACCTCGGTGTGCCGTGGCATCAGATCGACTCCGAGAAGCTCGTCGGGTGGGAGACGCAGGGGTTTCCTAAGCAGAAGGCGGAGGATTGGTGGAGAGAGCCAAATGAAGTTGAGAAAGCCCGGATATTGAAGATGATGGGTGGTGGTAGCCAGAGGAAAGATCTCTAGGCATCTTGATGGGTCTTGTTGGGTTTTGTTGGCTTTCACAATTACTCCGCGGTCCTTCTTGGTTTCTTGATGGCTTGGGTAAACTTCTTGCGGTTTCAACAATGTAGTGCTTACGCCGCTTCATTCGCAGGAAAGGGCATAAAGGGACCTGTAATCGTGATAAATTCTCCATCGTTTCATCTAGTTACCTGCCTCCAAGCACTCAGTTCGGCGTCTAGTCAACATGCTTGTTCGTCAGCTTTCATGTCCACACATCTATCTCACGCTTATGATTCCGAGTCCAAAACACCCATTTGCTATGCCAGATGCCTTGGCCCAGCCTATACGCATTCACACCTTGCAAGACGCATGCGTCGGCGATCACCAGATCATTAACCCGAGAAGTAAGGTCGCACTGCCAAAATCGCGTCAATCACCCCTTTGAAGAAGCATGGCTGTCAGACTTGGAAACGAGGGAGCCTTCTAACATCGCCTCTGACGGTCCGGCGTGGACGATATCCAAATATCACCACGCGAAAGTTTCATTATGCCACCAGACGTTCCGGCCTTTCTTCACCCAAACCCCAACGGCGGCTCTCAACTCGCGAGCCATCTCTTCGGGTCCGCATACCAACACGGCGACTCGGTCTTCTACCCCATGTCTAAAAAGATCGTCAACGATCCTCTGTAGATCGGGTCGTTTGCGGGTATGCTCCAGGTTTGCCTGCACATTATCATTTAACTCTATCCCTTCATCTTCGTCACTCGGGCTAGCAGCTTCGTCTGTGTCTGCGAAGACGTCGCCGGTCAGGAATAGGTGGATGTTCTCGTCATCCAGAATGCTCCCTGCAGTACCCGATACTGGCCACGTCGCATCGCCAGGTCCGCGTACTGCCCAGACCATTTGCACCCGGGCAACCGGACTCTCGGTTACTATCATGCCTGGTTGATGTCAGTCTGATGTAGAGAAGGCGAAGTTATGCATCTTAAGAGTATTCAGACGAAATAACCCCCTTGCGTTTGTCACTTGATCACTACTGGGAAGGGATTGACTTGGAAAGGGATTCAGAGCTTGGAAGAGACATTGGTGACTCACTGCCTCTAGGTTAGCATTCGCAAAAAGGACACATCAGGCGTAAGCCAGGAGATAGGGGATGCGCACCGGTACAGAGGCAGAATGAATGTAGCACCGACTCCGCCAGCTACTAGAAGAATCCGATCGAAGGCCGGTCCTGCTAAGTTTGGGAACTGCGTCGCGCACCCGTATGGACCTTCGATATTGAGCGGCAACTTTGTCGCAGTCAGCTCATTGTCCGCAAATCTAGCTAATGCTCTGGTCATAGGTCCTTTCTGTTTTCGCGCGACCAAGGTCAGGTCCCCTGATTCTTCGTTCACCGACGCGATAGTGAAAGGATTGAATGCGAACTCGAGCAGGAGGAACGCCATCGGAGCCATGTTTGAAACGCGTCGGGCAGCTGCCGGAATGGTCAAGTACACGTGCATCCCCGGATATTTGCGGAAGCGGCTGAGCTTGTTGGGAGGAATACTGGCTGCGATCTTGATCAAACTCGTTCCGGGGATGAGCTCCAGAGTTGCTGGCGCCGTGAAGGTATCAAAATTGCGCTTGATGAGGTCGAGAAGGAAGACACCAAGCGCCACCACCACATATGGACGACCGCTATGATGGGAATGAAAGAAGATGGCCGGTGGGAGCAGCAACGCTACCATGACATGCGTGATGAAGAAGACTCGGTATGAATAGCGGCGGATGATCTTGAGAACTGTGATACTCATGAAGCTAAGGCCAATAATGGAAGCAAGGCCAAGTAAGGGAACCAGATGAGTGAGTCGTTCAGCTAGGATGCTTTGCTGAACATAGAAGTTTAAATACAGGCATGCATGCGTCAGGAGCAGGAAGTAGACGATCCATCCAAGAGTCTGGTGCCATCGGTTGACCTGCTCGTAAGAAGAGCCGAATGCGAAAGCGATGGGATTGATGTTTTTGAGTGCCAACAGGTATTGTAGTGGAAGTTGTGATAGCCCAACTATTCCGAATCTTTTGGTCAAGTGAAGGTAGTCTATTTTACATTAGCTTCTACGCCTCTGACTCTATAAGGCATCCAACCATCGGACGCAGAATCTATATAGCAGCGATTTCTCTATGGCACTGAGATAAACAGGAATGTATAGATAGTGTACCCTGAGGTACCATCCAAATAATCATTCATCAAATAGAATCATTACTAGGTAGTGAAATAGTCAAACTCACCGTTCCCAGTTCCAACCACACACAAAAACACAAGCCACAGTGTCCAGGCGACGCCAACAACAAGTTGACCTCTCCGTCCCCAATTGATCCCAAGAAACATAACATCGTCGCCCAGCGACCAAGCAACGCTCCTGGCCCGACCAAGCCAAGGACCAGAGACACTCTGCCTCCTGTGCTTGAGCGCCGGCGAGTTCGGAACAGCCTCGTAGACCCCTCGCTCCGACTGCGAGGAAACCCGCTTAGCTAACCAGGACCCGAGCCGATAGAGCAGTACAACGGCGATGGGGAGCAGGGCCGAAAGTTGGGCATAATTCGCATACCGATCAAGCGATAGCCGCCTGGCATGCTTCTCGGCTTCATCGAGGTCGACGAATTGATAAGGCCAGCCCATCTTGGGAAAGTCAGCGTTGCAGTGGTGGCAGTAATCGTCCCGTCACGCTCAGGTCCAATTTAACCGGGCGGGTAATTTTCAAGACTTTTTCAGGATCGGATGATTGAGAGGCTTCGAAGCTGTTCTCGAGAGTCGGGACTAGAAACTCTGTTTCATGTCGTACAAGACACCGTTTTGATTATGATGGAAGTTTTGGACATTGGTACGAACTGAGCGAAGTGAGATGAGATTATAGTGCTGTAACAACATAATACTACCTTAGTAACACCTTGTCACCTTCGCCTATCAGCCACAGCTGTATGTATGTATGTACATAGGTACTTAAGCACCACGAGCCACATCTGAAATGCCCCCACCTCAGGCTTTCGTCTGGGCGCGCAATGAGCTGAAGAAGTGAAGGGCACATGTAGATAGCATGTAGAATATGATACCATATATATAGTCACAGAAATCATGTATAATGAGATTTGATACATTAGTTTACCCTTATTCTAATGTCCCACCATGGAGCTCGAAGTAGAAAGATATTAAGATACGTACCTCGATACCTAGGAGGTCTTCTCATACTAGTAGAGCAGCCTAGAGTTATGCAAGGTTTAGAGGAAAACCCACACACACTTGACTCAACATCCACTCAGCACGCTCCGATCATTCGCCACAAAATTGTAATCAATATATGTACAGATACGGCCAAAATTTACCAGTAACAATCGGATTGATTCTCTAATCATTCCCATGGTTTGGTGGTCTAGTGGTATGATTCTCGCTTAGGGCAAACCCTTGGTTTATAGCTGCAATACATGTATGCTATGCTTGCGAGAGGTCCCGGGTTCAATCCCCGGCCAAACCCTTCGTTTTGTTCATTGGAAATTCGATACTTTTTGTGTTCGTGTTGATTTTACGTCCTGGTTCTGATGATTATATTTTTGTGCGGATTGACCCGGCAATATGGGCTAGGCACTACCTATGTCGATACTCCACAGTAGCGAGCTCATCGACAGACATTTTTCTTTTCGTTGCAGAAGATAAAAGTTATTATCCTCCTCATAGGCATGGAGGAGGTAGATCATATGGCTAGTTCTATTCGAATGCCATAGGAGAATCCACAGGCATGCAAATCTGCGTGGACTTCCCAAAACTCTCTCATACGATGCACATTGATTGTAGCCATATCCAGGCCCTGACATTTAAATGCACTACGCGTACCAGCCGAAAAAGTGGCCATATTACTTTCGTGCCTTACTTAAGTCTTACCTACCCTCAAAGATATACTACTATCTCTGGATAGCACATTGATCCAGTTTGTTTTCTTTAATGTAGATCCAGTCCTGTGCTGTGTTAACGCCAACTGGACAATGCGAGTGTAGGTGCGGTAGGTAGTCGTTAGCTTACCATCATCCCCTCCCATCCAAACCAGCTCAAGACCCATGCAAACGTCGCCAAGCCACCCTGCCAAATGACATGCTTGACATGTGGTCTAAGTAGCTCGTCGACAACCTTCTTCGCGTACACCTCAGGCTCCATGTACGGTGCCTTATCCAGCATCTTCCGCTGCTCGATGAACTCCCTTGCCGGCGCGTAGAGACTATCGTCCGGCAGCTTCGTCGGTGGCGCATTGCGGAATAACCTTGTATTGATAGAGCCTGTTTTTATAGTAACAACACGGATTCCCAAGGGCGCGAGCTCGGTTCGGATGCTAGCCCCAAGAACCTCGATCGCTGCTTTAGATGCATTGTAGATGCCGAAGAAGGGCGGTCGTATCTCGGAATTGACACTCCCGACATTTGCGACCAGCGCATCGCCTCCCCCACCACCGTTCCTCGTGGCAGCCGCAAGCAGCAGCGGCAGGAATGCCTTGGTCACGGCAAACACGCCCAGGACGTTGATGTCGAATAGTCTGCGCGCGGCCTCGACGTCGGTGTCGGCGAACGGCATCGCGCACAGGACCCCAGCGTTGTTGATGAGGACGTCCAGCGCGCCGCCGGTCATCTTGGAGACGTGCGCCGCGCCTTGCTCAATCGAGGCTTGGGACGTCACGTCCAGGACCATCGTCTCGATGCCGCGCTCCTTCATGTGCGTGAGCTGCGCGTCTGAGATGTCCGTTGCGAAGACGCGGTGGCCCCGCATGTGAAACTCGATCGCTAAGGCCGAGCCGATGCCGCCTGGTCCGCAGCCTGTGATCAGCACAGTTTTAAGGGGCATTACTTATTAGTAGGTATATCAGTTACAATTTAGTTGAATTGATGATGGAATGGTTCTTGGAGGATCTTGTGGCAGAGATGTGTAGGAGGTAGAATTGAGGCTAAGAAGTTGAGGTGTGATGCTAGGGAGGGGGTCTGGTGCAACTTGAAACCCAAATTCTATCAATTCTTTCAAACAGTGGCACCAACTGCATACATCAACTCATGATCCTGCTTTGAGGATGTCGATGTTCGCTTCTTCTACGACTCGGGCACATTCAATAGGACTTGACCTGCTTCAATGTCGTTGCAACAGCGCCACGAGGACCCGGCTTCTAAGTTCACAGATACACAAAATCTCTTCAAACTCATAGATTCCACATCAGGAGATATTCTTATCATTACCGGTATGTAAAACATTAAGCAAGCCAGCTTTATATCCGTTTCCGTCACTACTCAATAACTCAGACGTATCTCCAAGCGATCTCGTCGATATCGACGAACAGCGAACGATCCGACGCCGCAAATTTCGTTGGCGCCGATATCACGCCAAGTCACGAATCTTAATCATCACCATCCCTACTCATGTTCATGAGACCCTCCACCTACTACTCTATGAGAAGTTGCGTGATTAGGTTCTGGCAGCACTAAGGACTTGATATTACAATTAGCATCCCGGATTTGCAGTGACATGCGGCGTGAGTCTGGGCCCAGGTCTGAGAGATCAAGTCGGGGTTTCAAACCCAGTTCCTTACTGCTAAGATTCTTGCTGTCAAGGGAGAAGGTGATGGTCTAGTATAAGAGCCCCTAAACGCTAGGTAACACGTCACGTAGATATGACTACGGCTATCAACCCTTAAAGATTTGCTAAGAAAAGCTAATGAACCAGGTATAACGGTGTTGTATAGCAAATTGGAGTTTAGCTGTGGAGATAAACCTTTAAATCCGAGATAGTCAATCTGTTTGTTGGTGGGCCCTCTATAAGTGATACCTATCACTCGAGCTACGCTTCCGCCATGGACACTCCGAATCGATCACAGCTTGTGGATGGGTTTATCAAGAGTGTTGAAAGGACTTGGGTTCAAGACGATGACGAAGATGTAACTGAAATAATTTCTTACACTTTATGGCAGCTTCATGTTCTAGCTGGCATGTTGATTCGCTGCCAGGGCGTATCAGTTCCCCGGATATAGAGAGGTATATCCGTGATCCAGTGTACATATAGTTAGTTACGCTATTGGCCATTTAGCTTTCAAGCATTTATTTTTTCTATAATATTTGTCTCCGACTCACCTTCACTCACCACCGGAAAGTCCCCTCCGAAATAGTCGATCATGTCGACGGAGAATTCTACAGGGAGAAAATTGACATGGCTGATCACAGGCTGTTCGTCAGGGTTTGGGCTAGCCATAGCACGACTTGCCCAAGCCAACGGGCACGATGTCATAGCCACGTCCCGTAACCCTGGTCGCACGCCCGAACTCGTGGAAGAGATCACATCGAAGGGGGGAAAGTGGCTACGGTTAGATCAGGACGACTCGGACTGCGGCCGCGTCATCGAAGACCTCGAAGAGCGAGGAACCGCGGTCGACGTCTTGGTCAACTGCGCAGCCATCGGGAGGACAGGTCCCGCGGAGTCGTTCAGCGAAGACGAGGTGCGTCAAGTGATGGAGACCAATTTCTTCGGCCCGTACCGCCTGATGCGCGCCGCAGCGCCTCATATGCGTGAGAGACGCTCGGGTATGATTGTGAACCTGACTAGCGGCGCTGGGATGGAGGCTCGCAACACTCTGGGTGTATACGGCGCGTCCAAATCTGCGCTAGACGGTAGGTAGCCCACCCCGAACTATCTAACACTGCCTATGTTAAGTACCCTGAAGGGTTGACAAAGGTGCTTCATAAGGAGATGCAGGACTTCAACGTACGCGTGCTCTTGGTATATCTCGGCGCCTTCAATACCCCCATGATTACCAGGACTGGAGCAGTATCCAAGCCCCTTGATCCTGATTACGACGGAACGGTGACGGGGCAACTCTTTCAGCTGTTGAGCACTGGAACCTTTGCGGTTCCTGGCGATCATATCAAGGCGACCCAGGCGATATACGACGTAGTAGTTGGCGAGGGTACGGGCAAAGGCCGTGAGAAGGAGATGATACTTCCCCTGGGCACGGACATGGCTGGAAGGGTCAGGGAGACTAGAGACCGCCTTGACCATATGATGGATGTGTTTGGGGATGTGTGTAATAATGTCAATGTTGACGATGTATCTTAGACAGGTGGTAGGGAATTGCCTATGAACAGGGCCAATTACAACAAGAAATACTCCATTACAAGTCTGTCTATTACAAGTCGGTGTCTAAACTCACCTTCCAGTACATCGATGAGGACGGCCTGACCTGTCCAGACGGCTATTCTATCCACCCCTGATAGGGCCGTTCTGCCGTCCCTTCTACCAGAGCATCCGGACTATCGTATGCTTGGGGGACAGATTTTAGTGGCATCTAGGTGTTGATGATTTATAAGTAAGCAAGCAGATTAAAAGCCATTTCAGCTGTGAGTACAAGTATGCTAAACGTAAATGATATATGTGAGAAGGAAGCTATCAAGACGACTTAAAGGGGTTGGTGTGACAAGAGGAAGCCTTCAGCCAAGGGGAGGCAATAGCAATACGTACGTGTATACACGGCCAATCGAGTATAACATAGAGTGGCGCAACCCTTGTCGGCGACCAAAGCAAGGGAGAGAAGCTCCTGGTACAATCCATCCTCACTTGAATCGGCGACCAACAATCATTGGTGAAAGCGCACTTGCTGCAAGTCAGGGTTTTACCGAACTCCAGGCCAGTTTCCTAAAAGAAATCTAAAGAATGGCGTCCATATCAGCAATGACAAGAATCCGAAGCTCTGGCATTGGGTCTAGACCCTGTTGTAATCCCCAACAATCCATTCAAGATGGGATCAATTCCATGTGAGCCACCAGCAGCCACAATTTGGCGATATTCAGATACGCATGGACCGAGTGCGTCATTCGTTCGTTTGATGACATAGTAATATAACTTAGGACTCTGCAGCGCCCAACCCCATCCACTATATATATTCCAGATTCTGTCTTACTGTATCTCATCAAATAGAGTGGCATGTATGTATGTTAGGCATATTCGGTGCATCTGCCGTCGGTAACGACTAGTTCGATGTGACGTCACGTCACGTCTGGCACATTCCGCAAAAAAGACCCCTCCGGGTAATTCAGGTAGTTCACAGAACATATGTTCATCGTCCAACGGGCCTACTTTTATCGCCAGTAATCGCCGAATATTTAATACCCTATGAGCGGTTTTACGACACTCAGTTGCCGTTGACCAGTGGTAAACCGAGCATGGCGACCTCTTCAAGTCAGCAGCCGGCCGCAAGCCAGGGGCCGAAGAAGCACTTCGTGATTGTACGTAAGTTTTGTCACGCCGGGAGATGAGATGAGATGTTGATTGTGTTGGCTATTAGGTTGGGGGTTCACTGGGTGGCCTGGCGACGGGTCTTGCGCTGAAGGAGCTCGGCCATGACACCACCATACTCGAGCGCAACCCTGTTCCCTTATTGCAGGATCAAGGAGCTGGGATAGTGGCAGGTGGCGACACTCTTGCTTTTTTCAAACGATATAACCGATGCGACCGACC